TTCCAGGTTGGTTCATTCCGCATAGAAGAAAAGATGAAGATGATTCACGCCCCTTAACAATGTATATATAATTTTCTTTGAATAAACGTTATACATAAAATTTTCTGAGTATTTTTTTCGGCATGGAACGCATTATCGTATTTTACATTAATTTATATGGGAAAAATTGTTTCGCTTAGCAAGTGTTTTGCATTACAAGTAAGGTTCTGGAACGAATTATGCTTGTTAAGCGAGGTTCCACTGTATATGTTTTTTGCTGATAGTATTGCGATATGACAAGTCCTGTATAACTGTATTTTGATTTATGGGAAAATGAAATAAAGAAAAAAAGAAAGCAACACTTTTACCTCGGATGGTAGCATTGCGCTTGGTGTTGTAGAGTATTGCAAGCTCACCAAATGCCCTCCCTGGCCCAAAGTTGAGAACTTTCTTAGTACCCACAAATACTTCAAATTCTCCCTCAGCTGACACAAAAAGGTGCGATCCTACAACAAAAACATTCAGTAGGATGTATTACAATACTTAAAAAAACACACACAAATATACAGGAAAAATCATGTAATACACCAATCAACTGCTTATTACCATGTGGCAGGAAAGAAAGAAAACATTGTCAGAATCTATGGAATAGTTAAAATCCTCCTACTCCATTGGGACTCTGTGACAGACTGATACATCAACCAGTTTGAGCGATGTTAGCCACTTTTTTGCCTGTGTAATACCACCAGATAAATGTTGAAATGATCCACTTGTTGGGCAAATTATATTGTTTATCTACAAACAGCCATTTTCTTACAAGAATCAAGTTTGCCAGGCTCTAATGAAGAACCTGGGGGAATGGGGGGGGGGGTAAAAGAAAGTTTGAAACAAAATGCACTAGCAGATGTGGAACCCTTCATGTTTGACAAGTCTGCCAGTATGCAAAAACTATATGTTGCATTTATACCAGCACGCCAGCTGAAAAAGAACTGCATGTACAGAATTCTATGATTATTTTAAGGCATTTATTTACTGTTGACTGGGCTGTGCCATAGCTGAGCTGGTTAGTCCCTGGCTTCCCACTGCGGCAGTCTGGGTTCGAACTCAGGTCAGGTAATGTGGGATTTGTGGTGGAAAATGTGGCCCTGGGGCAGTTTTTCTCCGAGTACTTCAGTTTCCCCTGCCAATCTACATTCCACCAACTGCTCCACAGTCACCATCATCTGTCATCTGGGGCTGGTACAATAGGCCAATATTGGCCACAGTACCAAGTGGACTCAGTCTCACCATTACAGTTAACTGAATTAATTTTATACATAGATTTTGAATAGAAAAAGTGAAATTACATTTTGATTTTTCATTACACCACAATGTTCAGAATTTGTACCTATTTAGCCTTGTGTCCAAAGTTTAAAACGCTTTCTTAATGGTTCGAGCAGTCAGAATGTGAAACCATTCACCCACATCTGTCTCGTGCAATGATCTATGATGTTGAGAACTTTATTTCATAACTTCTGCATGCAAGGACGTATTAAGATTTTGTGAAGCCCTAAGATTTAATACTTTGACAAAATGAGGTCCCTGCTTTTCTTTCAAATAGGTAAGAATGCAGTGTATGTCCATATACATGGAAACTGCACATGGAAAGAATCAAACAGGTGATCTGCAAGGAGCAATGGTAGTTCCTAAGTTGTGTTTGCCTGCTGCCACTCTTACTGTGAATCTTGTTTCCATCGCTCCAATCTGATAAGTTGCAGTAAGCCACTTGTTACCTTCTGTGTTTTACAAGAGAATTTCATGTTATCTCATGAGCGATTTTTTTCTTTTAGTGTTTGGAGGCTCCCCATATTTTAAGGTACTAAGCTGTAGTGTATATAACTTTTACTTAAATCTGGAACTGGCGGCATGCGTTTATGATTGAGAGTTTATTAAGTTACCTTTATAGGGGAATGCTAAGAAGTGCCTCTAAATAAAGGACATGGAACCTCTGGCTACCGGGATCTCAGCATAAGTTAGACAGTAATCACATTTATTTCCTGGTTGCTTTACTAACAGGAACAAACATCTTATGTTTAACTTTCGCAATTAAAATTTGTGAAACTAACCTGTTTCTCCTTCAGTAATGACATTTTGGTTTGCTTCATATTCCTTGGCATACATTGCCTCTACAACAGCTTGTATCTGCCCCTGATCCAAATTCTTCAGGAAGTCATTTTCCAAGATCGCTCTCCTAATCAACTCTTGTGTACTGAAAAGTAATCAGAAAAGCAAGGACTCAATTTTATCTGGCAAAATTAGTTTAGGACTCTGCCATCCCCCCCCCACACACACACATACACCTTTACTTTTCCATGTTTTTTAACATAATGAATGTAAAGTGTCCTGCATCATTATTGCGCTTGAAGAGGTGTTGAAGCGTGTGTCACACACTGTTACTTATGTGGCATTAGATCATAAAATCGCAGCATTTTTTCAGTAGCTTTGCATTCGACGAATGCAAAAATGTTTGATCAGTACTTGAACTGTTACAACAAAATCCACAGTGATGATCCCTAGTAATTTCATCTGTATATGAACCTAACCGTAAGAGAAGGATAGTGGATATAATTTTGTATGAAGTTGATGACAGTGATATGCCTCAATATTAACTACGGTCAGTTTATCCTCCTCCTTGTAAATTGGTACGATAATATTGTCACGTGATAGAGTGAGTATAGACAGGGATAGGATTGGTAATCGGATTTATTGAACTCTTAAACACACAACTCGTGACCACACTCTACGAATGACTATCACATGCAGACTAGAGTTCTCAATCTTAACTGCGATGCTTGGTAGAGCCATCGGCTTCAGTGTCCAATGGTTCCTGTCCTAGCTGACTGACACCTTTCAGCTGCAGCTCCCGAGCTGAACTAAGTGGCTTCCAACTGCTGCACTAACGTACAACCAACTCCTCATGCAGCCTCGGCATGAAACGTGTTGAAGACAACTCTCCCAACTGTTCTTTTATTGCTGCATCATGTAGCTACTGACGCTGAGCGCTTAGAGAATACCGCTTCCAAATTATTTCATTGTTTTGTGTTACAAAGCTGTTGCCTTGCAACGGGCATGTTTGGACAGCCGTTCCCTAGCAACGGCTGTCTCTGTTGCCTTCACAATTCTGGCCTACAGCAGATATACCACAATATATTCCTTCCACTGCTGAATCAGTTCTTCCTTATAAAAGGTAAAGTTGCCTCTGTGCTTAACTAATTAAGCACTATGCCATGAAGGATTATGGAGGAGCGGGTGTATAGATCCACATTTTCTTGACTTCGGCACTAGGTGGAGGTGAGTGGTCAGCTTCACGCCCCTGCGACTTTACCCCCAGGGAAAAAGTACTAGGTACGAGGTTGGGTGGGCCCAAGAACCGGTCTGGACGATGTGGAAGAGAGAAAATTCTTGCACCTACTTGGACTCGAACTCCGATCTCTTGGTTGTGCAGCCCATAGCCACTCTATACCAAGTACGCTATTCTGGGGTCCTAATTCCAAACAGAATTAATGAGTTCATGAATCAATTTTATCTGAATGGGATCTCTACCTGGAAGTTTATAATTTTCCTCAGAAAGACTAGGCGCAAGTACTAATGTCTCAGCTGTATGTATTTCTATCTGCCTAACATCACTGACCATATGTACTTTCAATAGCTGAGAGAAGAAATTCTTCAACCTATTCAAAGTGTTAATGGAAACTGCAAGCACCTCACCATTCTCTTCCTTCACTAAGTTACTTCCTGGTTGCTAACCCTCCTTAAATTCATTTACTCCTCTATATAAATCTAAATGTTCTTGTTCTTAGTATGTTTTGCAAGTTCATTATTCTTTTGATGTGACATATTGTAATAGTGGTTTCTAATTGTATTGATATCCTTCTGAAGATAGTATATAAGACCGAAACATGTTAAGGACAAATTTTGAAAAGGAGAAAACAACTTCATCAGTCACACTGGACGGAACTAATTATCCTTTTATAATCATTATTCTTGTCTTTCAAATATTCTCGCTTGCCCCCCCCCAAATATCTGCTAGCTTCCTGCCTTACACTGTTTAGAATATCCTCATTTATTTCGCTTGCATCCTGCAACCATTGCAATTTTGCATCCTTTATCAAACAATGGCTTATGCTGCTTCAATTCGTAGTAACCTAGACTCTCTTTGGCTGAAATGTTTATATTCCGAGAGTTTCTCAAGCTCTATTAATATACACTTCATCATTTAAAATTTTTTCAAAGGTCAAAACCTATTTGATATTTCTAACTGAGAGCCTCTACCTCATTTAGTTTTTTTGAGACTGAACTTCTCCATATCAAATTTTTGTGTTGTTTGTTTACTTACTTCCAGTCTCGCCCTAAATTCTGCCACAACCAGACAATGATCAGTACCACAGTCAGGCTCTCTGAAAGATCGGACATCAATGTCTAACTTCTTATAGGATGTAATTTTGGCTTGTTAAAAAAATAGATGTAGCAATTAGAAAAGAAATAGGACTCAAACAGTTTTCATTTTAGGGCATACACATCCGAGGAAAAGGCATCAGTGAAATAACTAGACACTCCGCCTGCCGACTTACGCTTTGTTCTTCTCGAAGGTGGGAGTCTCGAAGTCCGTGGCGCGGTGACTCTCGCCAGATACTCCCAACTTGGGCACTTCGGCCGACACCTCGTCCCTCCTCTGGTTGGGAAGGGAATGCTGTTCTTCGTTGTGCGCGCTGTCGTGTTGCTCAGTATCGGGAGTACCATCCGACTTCTTGGATACAGCTGGCTGATCTTCTGCGGTAGTGCAGAGGGAAGCAGGAGGAATCGGCTCGCTTGTCTCTGACGCATGGCCATTCAGCTGCAGCGGGTAGCCTTCAGATTTCTGTCAGATACAAAACGGGTACGTTATATTTTGTCGTACAGAAAAAGTCTGTCTCCGTTAAAGTGAGAAGTGCATTTACCGGGAAATACAATATCTCTGGCACCGTGTATGGACACTGAGCTAAAAGTAAAACTACCGGTATTGGTGGAAACAAAACTGGAAGATATAATTGAAAATTATTGACAGTTTGTCAATTTCTGCCAGAAGGTCAAACAGTGAATTCTGACTATTTTCTCGGAATCCTCGATCGTCTGTGGGCGAGAATTCTTCGAATTTGACCTGAATATTGAGAGCAAGGTTCCCGGTCGCTCTTCCACGACAATGCCCCACCCCACAAATCGAAGATCATGAGCGATTTTTTGGCCAGAAAAGGGATCACAATCCTTGATCATCCTCCGTATTCGCCAGATTTGGCTTCAGCAGATTTCTGGTTGTTCCCAAAAGTTAAGTTGGCTATGAAAGGAGACCGTCACGACACCATCCGGGACATCCAAAGGGAATCTACCGCAGTTTCAAATGCGATTCCACAAAAGGAGTACAGTGACTGTTTTCGAAAACTTTCCAATCAATTCCAGCCATGTACTGATTCAGAAGACTATTTTGAATAAAAAGAGTGATTCTTTTAAAATAATTCACGTCTTGTATTTTTAATGAAGACAGAGATAGTTAGTTAGTTAGTTAGTTAGTTATTTAGAGAGGGTGGGTTTCCCCATGCACCGCGACCAGTTTGATCTATTGTGCTTCCCTCTATGATATTCTACCAGTCTCTTTACCCTACCGATAAATGGTGCGTACCATCAGTCCCGCCGAGCAAGCGAGTTCGGCCACTTGCTTAGCGGTGTCTATAATACTTCCCCCATCTATCAGAGGCCTTAGAGGCTATTGTTGGGCGGGAAACGTCCTGGAATTTGGCTCAGTGATCCCCTTTGGGGATATGAGGTTCTTTTACGTGCCGTAAAGTTACGACACGGGACACACAGCTTAAAGTCCCTCCCGGAGGACTTGTTCCCTGAATTTTTCCGCCCTTAAAAATTCGACGACCTCAGCCGGGTATTTGAACCCGCGTACCACGAGTGATGAGGTGGGAACGTTACCTCTAGACTATGGAGGCCGCTAAGACAGATCTAACAGAACCTGGAACCACTGTGTATAAGCTGGATATGTTTCTGTCTTCGAGCAAAAGTATGAAATCTACTCTGTTTAGTCCATTAGATGGAACTCGTCTCCATTTTCCGATCTTAAAGACACGCAAAGTTTCGGAGAGTGACTCCGCTTCCGTCGTCACATTTTTGGGTCTATTCGATGCAACAAATTTCCATCCAAAAAACACAGTTTTAAAGACTGATTTGTTTGTCACGGCACTTGTACAGCAGAAATCAACAGTGTCGAGTATTCAACGAAACTCTTAGTGGAGGCTCGTGCGCAGTCACGCTCAGTGTTTCAGTTGCAGGAGGACGGCTTGTCCTTTCAGCAAAGCCACATTCCTCATCATGCAAATACACACAATCAGAAATCATACAAACCGAGCAGGGGTCAAGACATTAGTTAAGCTTGCTCGTTTTACTTACCTTGTAAACTTCTACGACCGATGTCCCAGCCACCGGAGTACACAGCTTGAACTTCCCTTTGCCACCGAATATATGCCACTTTTTTAATGTCATTGTGTCTGCAATACAAATGAACATGAACTGTATACATGTACCACACTTCTGACAAAAAGAAGCTCTCACTAAAGACTAGGGACCAATATCACACCAGAAGAAGCCTACAGAGAAGAATAAGTTAATAACCGTGACAGACTTGCGTGTGGGCGAAGCGAGACTAGCATCACTACAGAAATACTATAATCATGATGACCAATAGTAACCACGGCAACTTTAGAAAACGTATCAGATATATTAACAAAAGTAATCGTGATTCATGACAATAAACAAACTAAGAACAGTATAAATTTTTGAGCTGTATAATTTGTACTAACTTGAATGAGAAATCAAAATTCCAACATATTAAAAAGTTCTGGGAAGAACTAATAGCCTAATTTCCTTGATCCGATATGGGCTGCATTGATCGAAGTCCAACAATTATGTTATAATTATGTTATAGTGTCATGTGTATTCGTTGCCGCGGTAAAGTTTTCACCGAACCGTTGCCTAGCAACGACAAGGGAATATAGAGGAAGTATAGACGAACAGATAGATGGGAGGGATTTATGAAGAACTTTCAGGTGAGCTTAGGTGCCATGACATACATAACAAGTTTAATAAAGTTTGGTTCAGCTATTCGAAAGCAGACAATGGGGAGATACACAGACACACAACAGTGAGATGGCTTAAGTTTACTTTCAGTTTTTTAGTATAAGGAAAGCATGCTAAGAACGTAAGTGAGAACTGCGTTCCGTTGCGGCTGGCGGCTTTCTAATCTTGCTGGATACATTCTCAGATACCCTTCAGGTCTGGACGTCTTCTCCTCCGCTGCCAGACTGGGGACATGCCTTTCCATGGGGGCAAGGGACTCATTTAACATGGGCAAAACATGAATACATAGGAATATAAGTTTCTCGGTTAATATGGATAAATCGATACGACATAATATCGAATACAAAATTTTACATCGATACGAGTGCGACGTATTCGTACATCGCGTAAGTTCTTGGCAGGATACGATTGCTTGCGTTGGTCCGAAATTACTGAAAAGGAAACTCCTTCCATTGTGGACATTTTGGGGTATCTATAGAGTTGATTATTACACAGATAAAAATATATGAATAACTTGTGACTGCTATGTAAAATAAATAAATGCAACATACTGTGCAGAGAACGGGATATAGTTACATTGTGTATTAAAAGAACTTCATAATAATCTGATTAACATAGAAAGCTATCCAATGTAATTGAAGTGTGTGTGTGTAGGACAATTTGTAATACAGCAGATGGAAATGGACATCTAAGATTGAATTCAATTAGATAATTGAACAATTTGAAGTTTCATAAACCAACAAAGCGATTTGATATCGTTAAGCACGGCTCCTATATCGATAAGAAGTCCCATATCGATTAACTTCCCTGTTTGTACAGTATGTCACAAGAAGAAAGTTCAGTATTTTTGGAAGTCATAGCATCGGTCCTTCTAAGCAAAAAGTGTATATGTACATGTGTCCTACTCCGAAAGGTTTCAGAGATAACGCTATTTCACTGTACAGTTTCAAAACTGTTCATAAGGAAGAGATATTACGTACTGTTTCTAATACCGGTATTTATTGCTCTTGTGACAAAGTTGGAACAGTATAATATATTTTCGAAAATTCCACCGTCAACATCAGTGCACTTTGCATATCGTGTGAGGACATTGAGTGTTGCTAGTCTGTACAGTGTACTGTGTATTGTACAGTGAAATTGCTCTATCTCGGAAACCGTTCGGAATAGGACACATGTACTACAGTGCGTACAATCAAGTGCGCGCCGCGGCTGCAATTTGCCGTGAGTCATACCACCGCAGAACGGATGCAACTCCTCCCCGCGACTGCAGTGCCGTTCCCCGATAGCGTGAGTGTAGTGGTGTCGCTGAGTCTCCGTCCATCAGTTGCTCTACATGCACACATTTATAAGAATACAGTAAAAAGATAACTTACCGTGGTTTATAACAGGTGCTGAAAGTGACCTCCTTCTGCTTGCAAACATGCCGCGCATCTCACAAATAAATTACGCGACACTCTCTGCAGTTCGTCGACGGTAATTGAATGAATTACGCGTGTAATTTCATTTTGAAGACTATCAATGCTGCGGGGATTATTTTTGTAGACTTTTTGCTTCAGGTTGCCCCAAAGATAATAATCAGAAATACTGAGATCTGGGGATCTGGGAGGCCACAGTCCTCTACTGACAATTCTGTCTTCAAACACTTCCTGTATTGCGACCATGGATGCATTAGCCGTATGTGCTGTAGCGTTGTCCTGCTGAAAATACCCGTATTGTCTTTCTTCGGCATTCAACTGATCGAAGAAGGGATTCAGTATGTCATTAATGTACCGATCAGAGTTCACGGTATCGTGGAAAAATATGGGGCCAATGATTCGCCGCGGGCTTACAGCACACCACACACCCACCTTTTCACTATGTAATGGCACTTGCTGTATAGCGTGAGGATTTTCATTGCTCCATATTCTTACGTTTTGTGCATTGACGTGGCCACCAACGTGGAACCACGCTTCATCAGTCATGAATAGAAGCTGAGGATCCACTATTCCATCGTGTACATTTTGCAGCAGCCAGTTGCAAAAACGAATTCTTGCTGCATGATCTGGTTCTTTCAGCTCATGCACAACTGTTACTTTATACGGGCGAAATTTGATTAACTTTGTGGCTGTGCGAGCAGATCCTAGCGAAACACCAGTTTCCTGTGCTAAGCGTCTTAACGATTTTCGAGGACTGATCTGTAATCTTGCCTGAATATCCTTAACCTTTTCTTCAGTCAGCACAGTTCTCTTCGATTGCTTCTTCTTGTCACTCACTGAACCTGTGGCCCGCCACTTTTTCAGAAGCCTGTTTACACACGACTTTGTGGGAACTGGCGAGTCAGGATATTTCTGACGAAACCTACGTGCGAATTTTCTGTAAATGTTTTTCCTTGCAATAGTTTCGACAATAAACACACGCTGTTTAATAGTGAACTTCATTTCCACCGTCTGTCGACAGCTGTAAACATTCCACTCCACTTCCACAGCAAGACAAAGACTGACTGTTTAATGCAACCTCGGGTTCCGATTATGCAACCATCGGCGTAGGAGCACTGCAGTCGCGGGGAGGAGTTGCATCCGTTCTGCGGTGGTATGTATGACTCACGGCAAATTGCAGCCGCGGCGCGCACTTGATTGTACGCACTGTATATATGCAGTTCTTTGCTTGAAATTACCGATACTATGACCTCCCAGATTATTAAAATTTCCTCCTTGGACACTTTCTATATGACACTAACATGACATCATCACTGATATCTACAAATTTATTTCAACTGCATTTGCCGGATGTGAGGTCCTCACAGCAGTGACTATTGAAATATTAACTTCTGGTTTGTGACGAAGGCCTTTAGTACCTGATCCTAGCCATTTGAGATTGAAAGTGCTATCGCAAAATTGAAAAGGTATAAATCGCCAGGTAGTGATCAAATTCCGGCAGAACTTGTTCAAGCCGGAGGCGAAATATTACGTTCTAAGATCCATAAGCTAATTACTTCTATTGGGCATAAGGAAAAATTGCCTGATCAGTGGAAGGAGTCTATTATTGTACCAGTTCACAATAAGGATGTTAAAAGTGACTGTAGTAATTATCGTGGGATATCAAACAAACAAAAACAAACTCCGTGATTTTAGTCCGCAAGCGAAATATACCTACCGAGCGACTGCCGCTTTTCGGCGAACTTAGTGCCAACTTTTGCGGACAGAGGGTGTCGCGTGGTCAGCGTAACGAATCCCCATGGCCGTTAATTTCGGTTTTCTAGACCGGAGCCGCCGTTTCCTTGAAATAGCTCCTCAGTTATCATCACGAGGCTGAGTGGACCCCGTTCTTGACTCACGACTTCTCAGAAAGAAATCTGGTAGCCCCGGGAATCGAACCCGGACCTCTGGATCTGTAGCCAGGAACTCTAACCACTAGACCACAGAGTGGGATATCAGTGCTATTAAGTATATACACGGCCGCTTCATAGCTCAAGTGGTTAGTCGCTGGCTTCCCACGGCGGCGGCCCGGGCTCGAACCCGGGTCTGGTCAAGTGGGATTTGTGGCGGACAAAGTGGCGCTGGGGCGGGTTTTCTGCGAGTACTTCGGTTTCCCCTGTCAATCTTCATTCCACCAAATTCTTCATCATCTAAATCACCTGGGGCACGCTACAATAGGCCAATCAGTGGCCGCCGTGCCGAGTGGACCCAGTTGGACTCCACCCCCACTAAGCGAATTAAAAAAACTACATACAAAATTTTAACCAACATTCTTCTCTCAAGGTTAGGTCCTTACACATATGAAATTATTGGGGATCATCAGTGTGGGTTTCGACGTAACAGATCAACTACAGATCAGATCTTTTGCATTCGTCAGATATTGGAGAAAGACTGGGAGTACAATGAGACAGTACATCTGCTATTCATAGAGTTCAGGAAAGCCTATGATTCAGTTAGGAGGGAAATATTGTACAATTATCTAACATAGTTTTGGGTGCTTGTGAAACTACCTACATTATACCTACAGTATAATTATTGTGTTTCTGAACATTATTCATCGCCCTGTTTTTTATATAAAACTCACAACGTTCCGGGGGGCTAGATTCTCTCTCCGTCTTCAGGTGGAACCTACTCAGTTGGACCCAGTCGATAGAGCTAGTTCCTATCGCTGGACACCAGCACCAACACAATATAATGTATATACACCAAGCACACCATAAATCCTCTGCGAGATTTAAGGAAAACATTTAAAAACCTTTAAAAGAACTCGACACATGAAGCCTAGCTCCTATGTCAATGCATTATTTCGCAGCTATTGCTGATAAAATCAGAGTACTATCAGAATAGGGGTAGGTACTAGCTCTGTCGATTGGGAACAACTGAATAGGCTCCACCGAAGACGGTGACAGAATCCAGGCTCCGATACGTTGTGTGTTTTAAACAAAAACAGGACGATT